ATACTATAGTTTTAGCTTTTCTGTTTCTTCGAGTTTCATTGTGATTTCCGCTTGTTCTAGTTTGTCTACTAGTTTTCGAAAATCTAAATCTGGCTCTCGAATTGAGGAAGGATGAGATGCTCTCTTTTTTATTGCTATTTTCCTTAATTGAGGTGTTAAGGTCATCATTAAAATTTCTGTCATTTTTGTGTTTTTATAGTCATGTGTATTTAATGAATATGCTTTTCGAACTAGTGTTTCGATGCGTACTGCTAATTGTTTGATGGTTTCATTTGGTAATCTGCGAATATCATTACATAAAACTCTTTGGTGTTGTTTATTTCTTTCGGAGTCAAACATTTTTGAAAATTCTTGTGTAAATCTTTTCCAATCTGATTTTATTTCTATAGGTAATACTGAAAACCATTTTTGGGCTGCGCCATCTAAGGTTGTTTGTATCAACCTTGTGCGTCGATATATCCAATTTTGATGTAATAGTGTATTAATTGGTTCAGGTCCTATATTTAAAATTAAATTTGCTGTTACTGCATTTAAATAATCTTCTACAGAATATTCAGGATCTGTTCCTGTGAAAACCATTAGTGGTTTATTTGATGTTATTGATGATCCACCCATAAGGTATGGATTCATTGTCATTTGTAGTGATTCTGCGGCATTTGGCATTTGTGAAAAATTTGAAAGTTGATTCTTTGTTATTTCGTGTTGTTGAAGATAATATGGGAGTGGTATTTCGTTTTGCATTTGAGTTGGTTGGTACGAGTGTGTGATCGTTGGATTTTGTGGTTGAATTGGTTGAAAAGATTGTGTATTAGTTGGATTTTGCATTTGTATTGGTTGTTGATTTCGTGTTTCTGTTGGATTTTGAGAAAAAATTCTATTATATGTATAAGGTTTTTGTGCTCCTTGTCCGCGATATTCTTGGGTATACGGTGCAAAAATATCTGGTTGTAAAGAATCGTCATCAGATGATAAGTAATCCGTATGATGAGGTGCTTGCTTTTTATTTTTATTTTGTTGAAAAAATGGGTAATTTTCACTGCGATCCTGTGGGGGATGTGAATTAGTTTGAAAATTTACTGAGTTGGCTGTTGTCATTGGGTTATTGCAATGATGAGAACTTATATGATTATTATCAGGTTTTCGTGGGGAATAATTAGTTTTTGACGAATGTGCGTAGTTATAATTGTGTTTTGCAAAAGTGTTTCTTGTGAACGTTCTTCGTGTTTTTGACGGTATTTTCGTAGTTCTATTTGTTTGATAATCCATATGTGAATATTTTGGAGCAACCGAAGGTTTAACGGTTGATTGTAAGGTTACTTGTGCCGTTGAAGTGTTTGTATTTTTTGGTGTTGTTAAATTTGGACGTATTGGTGAAATACTTTGTTGTGTAGTTGTTGTTGTTTGGACGATTTCTTCTTTTATGAAGTGTGATGGTGTTTGAATATCTTGTTGTGTAAGATTTCTAGTTCCATTAAGGTTTTCATTGTGTATGACGGTCGAATTTAAACTATTATTTCGTGTATCAGGTAAAAATGTATTGTAGTTCAATGGTGTTGCATCAATGGTCAGTGGTACTACTCTCACATAATCTCTTTGATAAGATATTGTACCTATTGCTTGAATTGAGATTGATTGTGGGATATTTATAAATGCATGATGAGACCATTCAGGGTCCCAAACGTAATCTGACTGTTCTGTAATGGCAGTATCATCGTTTGGATTTTGAGGTCTAAAATTTTTTCTTACTTTTGAAATTAAGTCTATATTATGTGTGAAATAATCTATTATAAACCATGCCAAAATTTTTTGTAAATCATGTTTTGTGTGTTGTGAAACATCGTCTTTAGTGAAATTTTCTTTGATTATATGTAGAAAAGTTGAAAATAATGTAATTTCATTTCGTACTTTTATATGTTTGGATGTCTCAGTTGGTGAGATACTTTGAATTTCTGTTTTTTCTAATATTGAAATGTAGCTATATATTATTGCAAAGACTTCGTTAGTGAATATAGAATTTGCTCTTTGTGAGTTATGGTATTGTATGCTTTTAATATATTCTAAGAATACTTTTGAAAATTCTAATTCAAGATCGTCTGTTTGAATTACATATTTGCGATGATTCGGATTTGGTGTGCTGAATTCTATGGTATAGATTCCGTATTGTTGTGTTAAATTACATATATCTTTCAGATAATGTTCAATAATTTGTCTTTTGATTTTTACATCTGGGAATTCTGCTTTGCATGGACTGATTCCGGGTTCAAACAAATTTAGGAGTAAATTCTTGCAAAATATATGCTGCCCTCTATCATTGGGTGCATCTACGAGGAAGGGGTAAACTTCTTCGTCATCTGGACTTTCGTCACTTTGAGTGTGGCTGTGGCTCAATTTTTCGTTTAATGCTGTTAATATATATCTATCGATGTGCCTAATTGGTTGATTCCAATTATATAAGTGTACTGGTTTGTGTTTAAATTGTTTTTTTATTCTTCTTTTTCCTCTTTTTGATGAATTTGAAGTTGTTTCTGAGTCGGAAAAATATAATTGATCGTGGATAGGTTAATTTTTGTCAATCGATTCTTTTAATTTATAGAGTTCATCTAAATTGCTGGCTTCTGATTCTGAAAATGCGTTTCTATTTTTTGAAAATCTTTTTCGTGTGATTTGTCTTTGTTTGTTTAATATTTTTCTTTTAATTGTTAGTCGTTTTGTTCTAATATATCCAACTGTTTGTGTATGAGGTGTGATTACAAGATCGTATTTTTTGTTATCTATTTCGCAATTGTGTAAAACGATTGTTTGTTTATTTCCTAGATTTTTGAATGACATAAGGTTTAGGATGAGGGATGCAAAAAGTTGTTAGATGATGTCTACTTTTCTTAAACTGTTAGTCCTTACGATTTTTTGGTTAGCCTAACCTGGGTCTTTTTGTTCAGGGTTGGAGAGAAAAGTATATCAATTCCGAAGAATGATTTTTTACTTTCTCGTGGCTAGTATAAGCTAAGGTGTTAACTTACTTAATCTTACTTAGGGGTAGTGATTGTGTTCAAGGGTTGGAGAATAGTAAATCGATCCACAAGGTTCAGGTATAATTAGAACGCGAGTAGTTCGTTAGATACTATTTTAAACTTACTAAGTCTAAGATTTATCCTGGGTCTGGTAAGAGGAGGGTTCAAGTGAAGGATGAGTAACCGAAGTTCTTCACTGTTTATCCTATATTGAATGGTTAGTTTTGTTGAAAAATTTCTATTAGTCTTGGGTTTTTTGGAAGGGTTGGATAGTGAATCGACGTTTGAGGTCGTTAGACACTTGCTAAGTGGGTAGGGGAGAACAAAATTGTTCTTTTTGATCCAAGGATTGGCCTTGATGATCAAGTTTTAAATTTAGTGAAATAGAAAATTAATTAAGATCCAAGGATAAGCCTTGATGATCTGATTTTAAAATTAAGTGAATTTAATCTTAAAATGGTTGAAATTTATTTAAGAAAAAGATTTAGTTTTTTAATGATATTAGTGAGCTTATGATTGCTGTTATGTTTAGGTGATGAAGCTGGGACAACAAATGATTTTATGATTACTAACAATTTATTGTCATTCTACTAATTTTTGTTTTTATTTTCAATAAATATTTTCCAAACATGTTTTATATAAGACTGCAGAATTTTAAGAAAACGATCTGAGATCTTTTTATCAATCGTTATTGTATATTAACAATTTTGTTTAGCGCCTGTAATGATCATGAAGTTTTGACTTCAAAATTTTATGTTTGCAAATGAAAATCTAAATTCATTGCTAATAGGACTCTAAATATAAAAGTTTGTATTGGCTTTTGCCGTACAATCATATAACTATATGGTAAGTTTCTACTTTGTCGTATGTCGTCTCTTGTTTGAGGTCTTCTTGCGATTCCGGGTAGTTCTGCTATCGTTCGGAATATCGGCTCTGATCTATTGAGTCGTAGAGACATTTCGATTAAATTATCGTCGTATAACATTTTAAAAATGTTTTGTCTAAATTCTAATCTATTTTTTTGGTTGAATCTAAGCTATTAAGGTCTATTCGAGACTTATTGTCGCACCAGATGAGTTAAGACCGATGTGGTTAACTCATAGAGTAATTTCGGATAGGGTACACCGTCTGCTCGTCACGCTATCTTATTTTCGGCCGTATAGATTCGTGCAACTTCTTAGTCTAATACCGATCCTAATCTTACTCTTATACTTACTAGTCTCAGGGTGTTTAACTAGTCTCTGCTAGGCTCAATAGATCTAGGGTATACTGGTTTGTTGCGGCTGCTGAAGTTCTCTCGGAGAGACAACTAATTTCTAAGTTAAATTCAAATCTCTCTGGTGCTGAAATTACAAGTAATTTCAGCACTTACAAATAAGTGGGTTGTTAGTTAGATGGATCATGATTGGTTAATATTAAATACTTTACAGTGGTAAAATATCTAATTTATCCAATCATAAAATATAGTTTAGATCAGGTTCCATTAGTTGGATTCAAAAGCTTGAATCAGTTTTTTGTTAACAGGGATGTTAACTTGATCTAAATTCCGTTTGTCAAAACTGCTTTTGAAAAAAGTTGCCTTTGTCAATAATATGGCTTTCTTCAGTTTTATATATTTTCAAAAAAACTTTCAAAGATTGTGCCCTCACATATTAAAAACTAAAAAGAAAATTCTGCACTGAATTAACAAATTGTTCCCCTTTCTGAACAAAAAAAAACAGGCCGAAAAACGCCGCCCCCTAAAAACACATCAGTCTTTAGACATGATTTTGTAATTTCAAGGATATGCGCATATTGTGGTGTGAGTAGGTGGCTGGAATCCGGTTGCCGTAATTCTGAAAACATGTTACAACGTTTAACACGCTGTACGAACAATCAAAGAACACGAAAGAACAAAGGAAGATCAAAGAGAGCGTCTTTGACGCTGAACCTGCGTAAAGTTCTCAAAATACACAGTTTGGCCTCGTAATGTCAAAAATAGGCTTCGCTTACCATCGTCGGCTACCTTGAAAATGGACCAGTCACACTTCATTGCCGTGAGTATTCGTCTCATCCAGCCTCTCTTTTGGACTTCTTCCTTAGAAATCAGCACCCCACTATGCGACTGGCAATACGTTCCAGCTGCATCCAATCGAATCATGTGGCTACTTGCAAACACACTTGACGCGCACAAGTACAACATGTCGCTATCATCGAATTCCGCTCCGGAAGCACTGCTGGGGTCCTAAAATCCATTGCTTTTTTGTAAAAAAAACTCCTTGAACGCCAAAAATGCCATTGAACTACCAATTGAATGAAGCCTTTTAGTTTTGAGAAGTGTTCGAAAGAGCACTTATTGCAAACCTTTTATTTATTTAGAAAAGTGAGCTAAATTTTAAGTGCGTTTTTTGTAGAATCTAGCAAAAACCTCATTTATTTGCGTAAAGTTGCTTAAAAGTTTTAAGGTTTTCGTTTTTCGAAGCAATGTATTGCATTTTCATGTGACTGAATTCATCTTAATCAAGTTTGCTTAAAAAATGCATTCTGAAACCTAAATGGTTCTGAGCTAGTTTTGTACCAACCGATTGAACAATTCCAGTTTCTGCAAGACCGGTACCATATTTGAATGCAATCTGCGTCTCATAGTTTCCACCAGGCTTGACAATTTGCGCAACTCTTTGAACCTCCGCAAAGTCCGCATCTGTTAATGTAGACTCATAAGAGTCAAGTGCATTTACCTCGCTACAGACACCGGCACTCAGAAATCGTCGCATGGCTACCGGATTATCGTCAACCCGAAGGAGCTCCTCGTATACTGCGCTGGCATCGTTGTTTTCGCACGTTCTCGGAATCGAATCAGCGACACATACGAACCTGAGAAGTTCATTGCATCCTACGTTTCTCAGGACTCCAAGATCTTCGTTGTATCTGACACAGGAATACGAGTCGTGATCTGCGAAAAGCGAACTCGACGAGGATCCAAACATTTGATCGTCAAAGAAAATCATCAGATCATCCGACGAGAACCCAGTAACGTAGCCCTGTCCTGAGATTGGATCCACTGTTTCGGACTTTTTATACCCAGTCCACATGTTTCCATCAGGTATTCCAGCACAATTTTGAATCATCGCAATCTGGTCCAGACTTTCAGGAGTGAATAGTTTTAGACCGCTTTGAGCACAAGTTTGCTTAGCAGAAATCCAAGTCATCGCATCATAAGCTCGACAATCTTGAAAACTTGAAGGAGTATTGGCTATTGCAGCTGGATTTGGCTCGCTGTATTGGTTGTTTTTAGTCAACGTGACATAATCCGAAAATGATGCCCGAGAAGTTGTGAAGTGTTTAACGAACCAGAACTGGTTGTCGTCCCGAATGAAACAGGTCTGATTAAGATGCATTGCGAACAGATTACAGGTACTGTCCTTTCGGTTCCATGTGAATGATTCGCATTTTGTTGTACGAGAACATAGGTGGTCGCATTCACGAGGAAAATTAGTAGCTTCTGATTTCAGATAAAAGGAGTCTAAGTCTGGGCAAGGTATTCCCTGGATCAGCACGATACTATTTGGGATTATTTCTGAGTTAACAAAATTTAAATGAGGCCGAGAAAAAATAAAAAAAGAAAAAATGACAAAAAGTGAGCAATACATTTTTAGAAAAAGTTTTCAATTTTTGACCTCCTTTAATATATTTGCGCAGGTGGACGAATCTTGGCTTGGGAAGGGAATAAATTATTCGTGATGTTTGCTGGAAATTCCGTTTTTCTTTTGTAACGCGTATACTCAGCGACGCCACTTTTCGTTTTTCTGAGTTTGAAATTCTGAAATCCTTTGAAGATTGCAAGTTGTGCTTTAGTTGAATCCATAAAAATCGATGGAATTTTACTACAGTGTTTGTCCTTATCAAAGTGGAAAAAGATACCACATGAAATGGCGAAACTTGAGTTCAAGTCTTATTATTGAACAAAACAGTTCATCAATTTCACTCTGAAAAAGAGAAATAAAATTGTACGTTCATTGAATGGGCAAAAGACTTGAGTACAGAAAACTTTGATGCGTACTTTGTTGATACAGGCAACAAATCATTACATATTTCTTGTAGTTGAAAACTTGCTCGTGAAATCTGATGAAAGTTTTTTCACTAGCCGAGAATTTTTCATCGTTAATTCATAGCAGCTGATTTTTCGAAAAAACTTTATCGCTAAATCATGAGTAAAACATCGCTAATTTTCCAATGTTTTTCGATAAATATTTGCCAATTCACTTATATATGAAAAAGCGCGGATTTATCCATGAAAACTTTATTGGGCTTGCATTTTTTCATTGCTAATTTTTACGGGTAACTCAACCCAAGAACTTAAACTGCTTCGGATTTTCTCTTACAACAATTTGTGAGATCTTTCAGTCACCCAAAACTGGATATAACAAGATACTACTAAAGGGAACTCTCCAAGGAGAGGCGGGTTGCTTGCCCTAAGTCTACCCCCAACTAGTCTATCCCCGCTGGACTAACTAGTGCTTTTTTAGCTGACGTTCTTCACTTTAAGTTCACTAAAAAGTTGGTTAAACTTAAACGTCAGACAGTTGGAAAAACGTCAGACAGACGTAGTCATCAGACAGTTGGAAAAAGGTCAAAGAACGCAAGAAAATAGAAAAATATACTGACATGTTTTTGAAAAAACTCAACTTTTGATATTTAAAGAAAAAAAAGATGGCTCTTTGAATTTTGGATGATTGGCAACGGATGATTGGCACTTTTTTTAACACAGAAGCGAAGTTCGCATACAGAAGCAAAAATATGACCAAAGCAAAACTATGACCTTTTTAAAAAAATAACCCAAATAACAGAAAAATGGATTAATAAGGAACTTTTTTTGTTTGAAATATGAAGTTTAAACTCCCTTTTGAAAGTAGAAGTCAATCACGTTTGTTGCGACTTCTATTTTTTTGTTGTTCGATAGTGGAGTTTGCTTTCCTCTTAACAGAGAAAAGTTAATGAACATAACAAGAAATGAAAAGTCAAACCTCGAAAAAATTAGTTTGAGCCCGAGCAAAAATCTTATCCTGAAAAAAAACTGCAAAAACTTATCAAGACCTTTATAAGAGTCTGAACTACCTTCATCGACTCTCAAAAAAACTGCTAATGGATAAGTGGATAAAATGATATCCTTTGTATCCTCGATGTAGTCATGGGAAATTTGGGTAGCCCTCTGTATAATTTCTTGAAAACTCAGAAAATCAAAACTAATTGTAGGGTTGTTCTGATGATAGTGTGAGAAGAAAGGATTGCTGACTGGCGCCACTGGGGACAGGATTTTTAAGGATTTGGTGCAGAAGGGGGGTCTGGCGAATACACGAGTTGCTCAATAGACTGCTATTGAGTAAATTGTTTTTGATTAAACTTCTACGGTCCGTCTTTTTCTACGAATCGTTGTCTTTTATCATACATCTCCTATTTAAATTAAAATTGTTTCAATCCCAAATCGCCCAGAGTTGCTTTTAGCAGGTTGAACTCTTTTGAGATCAAAAACATAAAAATGTCTTAAGTTTTAATGCATGCGGAAATCTATTCTTCAGCCAGCAACGTCGAATATTGTACATTTCCCAGACCAAATGATACTGGGATGACGACAGGCTGATTTTTGTCTGTCACAAAAGACCTGTTATCACAAAAGACAACACAAGACCTGTTAATGATTTTTCTCAAGACAAATTTCGAGATTTAACCAGCAATTTTGACGCCAATTTCTTTCTACAATCTGAAAAACATTTGTTTCTTGCGTTCAAAGTTTGAAATACTAATTAGCTATGATCGTTTTTTGTCACAGGGGTTTGTAGACTGGCAGTCTGACTAATTTAGATTAGTTTTAGTTATTTCGAATAAAACTTCCGGTTTTCTGTTAACACATTGCGTAGGCAGCTAAAAAGTCCGGCTCAGAAGTAACTTTACCCCAATTTACGAAGAACGCTGGTCATACAATAATATCCAGTCTATGAAAAACGCTTTTCATACAATTTCCCTTTAAGAAAATTGGACAATAAAAAAATTTAACTGCTTTGCTGAAAAATTCCAAAGTCAATAAATTAATTTTTAAGAGTTTTTTCCATTTTTGTCTTAAATCACTTTTAATGCTCAAACAAATGCATGCCAAAAATTATGTGGTTTTTAATAACAAAGTAGTTGAATTGTTTATACAAAAAAAAATGGAGTAAAATTTTTTTGTGCAAACCTAAGCTTGAAATATTTTATCATTTTACATATTAAAAAGTACGTAATTCTGTCAAAAAACAGGGCACGATTTCGACTTTGCAGACATGTAGAATACTTACGATTAAAGTTCTAAGTTCTGAGTGAACTATAATGCACATATAGTAATAATAATTTCCCCCTCAGCCAGTAACTTTTCTTATGTTAGAGAGTCCTTGGTCATCGTTTTTTAAAAGAAAACACAGAAATATTTAATAGTTCATTCTGGTGATTTCACATATAGTTTTCCTTGCGTATGAAGTCAAATAGAATTAAATGACAAAAATTTTTCATCTTGAACAAATGCATGCCAAAAATTATGCGATTTTTTTTTAACAAAGTAGTTGAATTGTTTATACAAAAAAAATGGAGAAGAATTTTTTTGTGCAAACCTAAGCTTGAAATATTTTATCATTTTACATATTAAAAAGTACGTAATTCTGTCAAAAAACAGGGCACGATTTCGACTTTGCAGACATGAAGAATACTTACGATTAAAGTTCTAAGTTCTGAGTGAACTATAATGCACATATAGTAATAATAATTTCCCCCTCAGCCAGAGTAACTTTTCTTATGTTAGAGCGTCCTTGGTCATCGTTTTTTAAAAGAAAACACAGAAATATTTAATAGTTCATTCTGGTGATTTCACATATAGTTTTCCTTGCGTATGAAGTCAAATAGAATTAAATGACAAAAACTTTTCATCTTGAACAAATGCATGCCAAAAATTATGCGATTTTTTTTTTAACAAAGTAGTTGAATTGTTTATACAAAAAAAATGGAGAAGAATTTTTTTGTGCAAACCTAAGCTTGAAATATTTTATCATTTTACATATTAAAAAGTACGTAATTCTGTCAAAAAACAGGGCACGATCTCGACTTTCCAGACATGTAGAAAATTTACGATTTAAGTTCTTAGTTCTGAGTGAACTATTATGCACATATAGTAATAATAATTTCCCCCTCAGCCAGTAACTTTTTTTATATGTTAGAGGGTCCTTGGTCATCGTTTTTAAAAGAAATCACAGAAATACTTAATAGTTCATTCTGGTGATTTCATATATAATTTTCCTTACGTATGGAATCAAATAGAATTAAATGACAAAAATTTTTTAACATGTATATAATTTTTATGATAAAAATTTTGGTCACCCGTGTAGCCTATTGCGTCAACTTATCCAATGTGTGTCATTTGGTATAGGCCATTGTGCGGGGGTAGAAAATTTGAAAACTTGAGTGTGAAAACACTCAAGTTGTTAACCTGATATGAGGAGATTTTTTTTATCAGTTAGCATTTGTTTTGTTGCTCCGACTTTCGAAGAAACTGAAGAGTTTTTATAATGACGGTAGTTTTTTTTAATTTTAGACCACTTTTTTGCTCACGGGGAGTTGATTCCTGGATTTTCGTGGGCCACGTTGAGTCAACTCACAGCTATATAAACCTGATACGAGCCCAGTTTACTGCTCGTTTTATGCGTTGCTGCTGAACAAACTGTACAATAGAGAAAAATTGAGATCTTTTGAAACATATTCTTATTATACTAATTGACTCTTTTATCTATTTTCATTGACAAAATCATGAAAAACGAAAATGAAACATTGCCAACAGATGGTTGAAAAAGTGTGAAAGAACTTAAGCAAAACAGAAAAAAGTTGATTTCAACTTTTAGTTCTCATATTTTTGTGGCCTCTACACTTTTGCTTTTTGACAGTGATGTTGGCCTTCCTTTCAACAAAAAAATTGAATTGAATTTATGAATCAATATCAATAGGCAAAAAATCAAATTTGATCATGAAGTTTTCTAAGACTTTTTCCTGAAAAAAAAATGACGACGGCCAAATAAATGACGATCACTTCGTTTTTTTACACTTTTTGTCAGTTAAATCGGCTCTTTTTCTTTTTCCCCTCTAACTGCGAATTTTCTCAAGTCAATTTTTGTTCACATTGTTCGATTGTTACAAAAACTGTCATGAGGACTAATTACGCTATGACAAAAATTATTGGTATCCGTACCTTACAATGTAAAATCCCTCTTTACACCTTAAAAACTATCCTTATGTGAGGTGTGGGAAAAGGAAAAAGCCGTTTAATCAGCTTCAGTCATCATTCAGGTGGCTCTCAATCCATGGGATGTATTTATTGAGTCTGGTGATGACTACATGTTCGGTGCAGTTGACATCATGTTTGCTGATCACTCCCAGAATACACTGAGGGGTGCTCATCCAGGACATTGGGTAAACTGGACCCCCCTCGTCTCCATCACACGCACTCTGCTTCCTCGTCCCCACCAGACATGCCTGCAAAGTCAACATTCTAAGTAAACAAGAAAAGATTTTGTCTTGCAGCGCAACTTAGTTAAGAAAGATGTTTAACGATATCAAGAAAGTTTTCAAAATCTGCATAATCGATCTCAATTAAACGTACAAAGTTTTGAAGTTTCGTCAAACGTCAAGTTACTAAAACCTCCTGAAATCTTTAAACAAACAAAGCCTTACTGTATAGCCTT